ATTTTTGCACGGCTTCGGCGGATCGATCCAAGGAAATGGATCGATCCAAATCCCTGACCACAAAACGAAGTGATCGATCCACAAGGACGGATCGATCCACTGACGGACAGAGCCCAAACACGAGGACCCAAAACATGTGTGCGAGTGGGATGTACAAATTGGAGCTTAATGCTTTGTTTAGGACAAGATAACAACATTATAAGGCTCCCAAAAACAAACAAACCAAGTAAGCTTGAAAGAATTAATTCAAATTCAAAATTTGAATTAATTAAAGAATTTTGGTGTATAAATTGAGTCCCAAAAATATTTTGTGTGTCAAACGATGTACACGAAAAATATTTGAATAAAATATTTTTGCTTACTAAAAATATTTTATATTATCAAAATAAATATTTGATAAATGTTTGGTACACCTTTTGTGTCTGACTCAATAAAACTATTTTGAACAGTTAAAATGATTTTTCAACTGACTCCAAAAATAAATATAATTTTTATTTTAACTCTCATAAAAATAATTTTGGAGAGAAGATATTTTTGTGATCTTTACAAATATTCCTACGACTCAAATAAATAAAAAGTCTTCGGAAATCTTCTACTCCTCCGAGTCCTCCGTTAGGCGCTCCGAACGCGTCTCGGACTCCAATAAAATCATGTGCACCTTCTTGAATACTTCAAGGAATGACACTTCAAGTCTTCGTGTTTGTCGTTGTAGCACTTTGATCTTGACTTGAATAAATTGTGTTTGTCAATTATCAAAACCTGTGAGTCAACACTTAACAACACAGAAAAGGTTGAACTCATGCATTCCAACATATAAAAGTAAAAATTTAAAAATATATGCTTATTGAAAGGCAAACATAGTTCTGAATTTATCGATTTTAGTTCTAATCAGGTTCGGATATTATCGGTTTCATATCTAATCGGTTTCAGATTTTATCGGTTTCGGGTATTATCGGATTCGGATCTAATCGGTTTCGAGTTTAATCGGTTCAGATATTATCGGTTTCGGATCTAATCGGTTTCCGATTTAAATCGGATATGAATTGTTTAGTTCGGTTTCGGTTCGATTCGATTCGATTCGGATCATTTCGGGTTTTCGGTTATAGATCGGATCTTCATTTTTAGGGTCATTCCAGTTTCGGTTTCGGATATTTCGATTCGGGTAATCTGTTCCGATTCTGTTTTGCTAGGTCTAGTCATTACCTCCTAAGTGAGAGGATATGGTGTGAAAAAAGAAGAGGGCAAGGATGCCAAGTTGAAAAAAGAAGCGGGCAAGAGTATATTATTACCATAGTTTAATACGCAGTAATTTTTAAAAATTATAATGATCATTCATATTATTATTAACTAATTCATTAACATATAATATAATCAGTAACTTTTATTCTAGAATTATTAGCTTTTTGAAATAAAAAAACCAACTCATATTTACATTAGAGTAAAAATCTCTTAACAATAACCATAACTAAAACTTTTTATCCATTAACTTTTAATATTTTTATATTCAATGCAAGGAAGAGTGAGTGTTATTATTAAAATATCTAATCATTAAAAAATATGAATATTATGCTACAAAATATTACATTTTTTCTGTATCTTACATAATAACATATTGCAGGCTACAAGTACTCAACAAAAATTGCATGCTACTAATTATACATCACATAAAATCTTACACACTCATATTCTCTTCACCCTTCATTGAATCTCAATTTTCTTTTGCTATATTAAGTTGAACGGTATCTATTTGGTTCTTGCGTTTTGAGTTAAACATTGTAGTATCACCACAATGTTGACACCATAATAGCTAAATGTTGACACCATAATAGAACTGATATTCAATTTAAATTTCAGACATATTTTTCAAAATTATCCATCGCTTTTTTAGCACTCCAAAGCATCTTTCAATTATTATGCACAATGGCGAGTATTTGTAATTAAAATGTCCGAGCATCCCACTATGTGGTTGGCCTCCACGGAACTTGTGGTATCTAACATCTTCATGTCTTATTGAACTATGGTAACCAAGAGTGTTCAATCTGATTAGATCTGATTAGATTTAGTGTGATCTAATTCTAATAAGAATAAGTAATAAGAAGAAAAAATAATGCATTCAAAAAAAAAAGAAAAAATAAGTTGAATGAAACAGACTTTAGTTGGCATCTCAACAAATAATACCAGTAAAAAAAAGAGTTAATCCTATCTCTATGGCCCCACTAGAATTGACGGGACTGATGGATTCAAGACTATGGGGATACTGAAAGTGTATTAGCAATGAAGTGCTTAGATTTCTATACGATCCCCCTTCGTGTTGAACAAAGAGGCCTATTTATACACTACAAGAATTGAGTTCATTTTTTTTGAATAAATGAGTTCATTAATTATCTTTGTCTTATACCATCATACCTCACTTCTCATCAAACTTGGGGATTGTACCCATAGAGTTGACCCATAGGGCGGGGCTTGTGATAGCCCTTGACATAATCTGAGCATAAGAGCGGAGGGACACCGAGTTCGTCAGATGGTTGACCGTGGACATTGTCTAAGCTTGAATGCGCGGTTGATTCGAATGAGCTTAGCTTCTTAAGGCAAGCTCGAACATCCGTGCTGGTTGGAGAAGACGTGCTAATAGTTAAGCTCGGCTACGCCGAGCTCAAGCTCTCTCTCCTGGTGTGCTCATGGCCAAGCTCGACCACTGCCAAGCTCCGGCCTAAAATGATTTACATCTATATTATTACGGTCTCTTGATAGCTTTTGTTTATTTGCATATCTTCATATATGGATCATTTGATAAAGGCCTTGTTTGGAATGTTGGCTGTCAATTGTTGGCTGTTGGCTGTTTGTATCGGATGTTCTAAATAGCTGTTTAATTTAGCTGGTTTGACCGGCAGGATGAGTTGGTTGATCGTAAAAAATGTTTGGTAAAATTAGCTATATGAAAATGGCTGTTTCGATACATACATACACACACACACACAGATGCCAAAAGCTATCCGAAAAGTTGTTTTCCAAACACAGCCAAAATAAAATATTTTTGCTAGCTTTTAACTTTGTAACAGGCTTTTGATATACACCGTATTTTTAAATATGTAAGTTTTAATTTTATTTTTATATCTACTTGTAAATATAATTGATGGGCCGATACCCAACGGGAGGCCCAAACCTCATGCCCAAGAGGCGTGGGTACCAACATGGGCGTGCGACGGTCCTGGGCTGGCCCAAAGGCTTGGGCCTGGACCAACCCAGAGGAAAGACAGCTGGAGGAGTCTGAATTGGAGAAGAAAACGCAGCTGGTTGCGGAGAAGTAGCCGAAGGAAGGGGATCGTGCGAATCTCGGATTAGCTTCCATAAATTGTTAACTACTATAATTACGTAGATGACATGTATAAATAGGGAGGACCCGATTGGGGATCCTCAAGCTAAACCTAGCATATAATTCCATAATTCTCGAGTTCTCGTTTCTTGTTAATTCTTTTGATCCGCCGTTCAAAGTCGGATCACTTGGTGGATTATTGTCCATCAATAAATTTTTTAAAAATCATAAGATTTTATATATTGTTCGAATAAAGAATACTTTGTAGTTTAAGAAAAAAAGAATATTCTATATCATTTTGGAACAAATAGAGGACTATAAAGAGTAAAATCCAAGCAATACTAATTAAAATACATGTGGACTCTTGCCTCTGTGAGAAAGGTAAGAATAAATTGGAGAGGTGGCTAAAGTGGGAAGGGTCATGGGTAGAGTTTCTAGATGTATGTGGGGTACCACTTGTATGCATATTTGTCTTGGAGGTCCCTATCACAACTAAAGAAGTTGGTTGTGACATGAATGTTTATAAATACATGAAAAGGTTTAGAAATAATCCCATATTTGACATCATAATACCTCATAGATATTCCACAAATAATTTTTTGTAAAAGACATTAGGATCCGTTCAGTACATGGAATTGACGAAATTTGAATTGAATTAAGAGTTGCAATTTTATGGAATTGATTGGGATGAAACTGAATTCTCCATTTCTAATTCATTTTTTGACACTATCAATTCCAAGTCGATGTATTTTTGTGCTATCAAATAGCAAAATTGGAATTATTTTCTTCAATTCCAATTCTATAGTTTGAATTCTGTGTACAAAGGGAGTCTTATAGACAATTTCCACATTTAGCATCTATTTTGTCAAAAATGATACTCCATTCATCTTAAAAAAATTCTCATAATATTTTTTGGATAGAGGAAGTATCAAATATAAGACTCTCCTAGTTTCTTTTGTTATAAGTTTATATTCTAACATATTACTAATTCTTAGGCAAAATTTCATTTTCTGATTTGGACTTAAGTATTTCTAGATCAACAAAGATTTGATATTAAATTAAGAATTACACAACTTAACAAAAAAATCAAGCTTGAAAGTGAAAGCCCAAGTAGTATTTTACTACCTCTGTCTCTGAGTCTTTGTCTAGTTTTGACTTTTTTCGGTCAATTGTTTTCAACATTTGACTTAAATTAAATTAAATATATAATGTAAATTTTGAAAATATTTGATATAATAAATCTAATAAAATTATTTTTATATTAATATCTAATATCATTTTTATTTATTTTGATGTCAAAGTTTACCAATTTCAAAAAAAAGTCAAAAATAGACTAAATACTCAAAGACAGAAGGAGTAATATTTCAACACATGCTTTCACATGAATGTGAAACTTATTGGCTAAAATGTTACACATGAACATTTTTTTAAGGATGATGAAATATAAACTCAATAACTTTTAAATCAACAAGGTACATATATCTTGTGAAAAGAATCAAATCATCTCAATTAAAAACTAAAGTTTATTTCGAATTGAAACTTAAATGAATCATATAATAGTACTCCCTCCGTCCCAATTTAAATCGCCAGTTTTGACTTTTGGCATATTTAAGGAAAATAAAAAATAGAGTTGATTTTTCGAAATTGACATTACTTTTTAGAAGGGGTGATGATGAATGAGAAGATAAGGTGAAGAAGATTGACTTATTTTAGGGGTAGTTTAGGTATTTTATTTTTAAAAGTTTACGGAAACAACTAACAGGCAATTTATTTTGGGACGGAGAAAAAAGGCAAACAGGCAATTTAAAATGGGACAGAGGGAGTAGTAAATGTGTGTGATTTCCAAGGCTAAGCAACTGAGGTATGGAGTATAACAATCAAAGTTTCTCAATAACACTACATACATTTATTTGGTCCCAAATGTTATTGTACACTATTACTACGCTTCACGCAAGCGCGTTTTCTAGTAGCTATGGGCCCAATGCGCGCAGCGTTATACAAGCGCTGGGCTCAGGCCCATAGACGCTTGCAAGCGGGCAGCGTAATCCCGAGCCCACAAATCATAGTGTACGATTTCCTCAAGGGTAGGCGCCGTGACCACTTCTTCTTGATGCTTTTCACACGTTAGCTCCACGATCTTGAAAATGTCAAGGTAACCGATCCTGAAAGATCCCCCAACATTTTCATCATGTGAAATTTGCACTGAATAGGACTAAAACATAAGTCATTTCCCAATGTAGGACTTAAACTTTTTTATTCCCTAAACAGGACTTAATAATGACTAGTGAGAAGAATATTGTCCAAGTGATGCTGGACATTTAGTTGAATAATGACTAATAGATAATGACCAATGGTCCTACATTAGGAAATAAAAACATATGGTCTTATATTGAGAAAATCATTATGTTTTAGTCCTATACAGGTAAATTACCCTTTCATCATTTGACACTCTTAGATCCGGTTCTTTTCAACGTTTTATTCTAGTTATCCAGGCTCCGCTTATCGATTTTCAGTTACTAGATTCCGTTCTAATTACTCATACTAAAGAATTAGTTCTAGTTGAAAATCCTTTATTCCATACTATGTATTTTCTTTTCTTTTTCCTTTCAAATTTCTCCAACGAAACATAGTTTGAATGTGAACTTCTTTACTCTAAAATGTATATGAAAAAAATGGTTTTCTTGAAGCGCGTACCTCTCGTCGATGAACAGTTCAACTGCTTTTTCATTCGCGGCACTGAGAACTCCGGTCATGGTCCCACCCGCCCGCCCAGCAGCATAAGCAAGATCCATGGACGGGTATTTTACTTTGTCTGGGGCTCTAAATGTCAATGACCCAAGCCTATATCGTCACAACCAAAATATCATTCTTCAAATGAAAAAAAGAAGGAAAAATTCATGCAAATATTCTCAAATTTTGAGATTTTACAAAAATACTCCAAGTTTCCATAATGATCACAAATACGCCTTTAAACTCGATGGATTCATGTAAAAAAATAAAAATTCCCTTGACGGATTACGATTAAAATATTGAATTTATGTGAGCGAGGGTAATTATGTAATTTGGAGCATTCTTGGAGTATTATATTGTCATACTTGCAAAGATCGAGTCGGGGCCAGGTGACCTCAGAACAATGAATTCTCTCCGGCCAAGACATTGTGTAAAGGATTGGAAGACGCATATCGGGCCATCCCAATTGTGCCAATACAGACGAATCCTGCACAAGCTCATTTCATAAAACTTTGATGTAGTTTTTTAAATATATATACTTTCGGCATATATAAAAAATTTGGTAATTTTATGCTAACATTTAAATAAATTCAATTAAAACTAATTTCAATCAAGAAAATCTTAACAGTCAGTTTACGAGAACGAGAGAAGTAGCATACTCTATCCATTTACATTTAACTAACCATTATGACTTTTATAATACATCAAAAGTTAACGAATCTGGACATACGTCTTGTCCAGATTCTTTGCACCCTTAATATATCGCAAAAATTCATAGTTCGTTAACTACATTGCTTATGATTATGACCTGTGTTTCAATCATGGAATGAACGATGGACTGCGGGTGAATCACAATTTCAATGTCATCATACTCCGCCCCAAACAGATAGTGAGCCTCGATAACTTCCAAACCCTATAGCATGGAATACACACAGAGAAAAAAATGTTAATTCTTTGTCTTGCAATTTATAATATGACACTCGAAAGAACAAAAATGTGACTTTTTTTACCTTATTGAATAAGGTAGCGGAATCTACGGTGATCTTTTTACCCATAGACCAATTAGGATGCTTCAAAGCATCAGCTACCTGTACATCTTTCAGTTTCTCAACAGCCAAATCTCTACCAAGAATATAAAAATTTTGTCAAATACCTAAAGGTAACTTTTTGTTTGGGAATATGTAAAATTATGAGATTCCATTCCAAATACCAATTGACAATGGAAAGGGTAATTTTCTTGACCGAAATTAATTTAAGCTGACTATAAGAAGGGTGCGTGTACGCAGACTTAATCCCTACTCAGCTGGGAATATTAAAATGAAATTTGAAATCAATGAAAACCCAGAAAGATAATCAAAGGATCTCATCCTCCTTGTCTAAGAAAGGAACACATGAAACCTCCTTAAGCAAGAAATGGAATGGTTCCTTTTCTTAAGTGTTAGCAAGGAATAGTCTCATTGCTCACTATTTAGGGACTCTCTTTTCGATTAATGGGTCGGGTTCACTTTGCGATGGAGAATCCGAACTACGACCATCAACGATCGTTGCTCGAGGACAATATAGAATCGAACGCCGTACGACCCTCGGATGTGAGCGCCGACGACATCTTCTACTCGCCGGACGATTTTGACGACGACGACAACGAAGACGACTCCAAAGTCATCCGCCTCTTCAACGCCGTCCTGAGTGGGACCGCGCGCCTCAACGTCCTCCTCCCCACCGCTACCATCCTCGCTTTCATCATTTTCGCGCCGCTCCTAACCAACGACGGGAACTGTACCCGGTTCGACCGTTTCGCGACGGGCTTCTTCTTGGTCGTATCCGCGGCTTCGTGCGTCTTCTTCTCGCTCACCGACCGGTTCAGAACCGCCCGGGGGAGGCTGCGCTACGGCATGGCCACCCCGCGCGGGATCCGGACGTTCGGCGGGTCCCGAGTGGGGCCCATGGTGCCGAACGACTACAAGCTGCGGTGGTCCGATCTCTTCCACGTGTCCCTGTCGTTGGTCGCGTTTTTGGGGTTTGTCTTCTCGCAGGGCGACGTCCTGCAGTGTTACCAAGTGCCGGTGTCGAGGAAGGCGGTCAACGTGGTCCCGTTGGCGGTTGGCTTCGTCGTTAGTGTCTTGTTTGTTACGTTCCCTTCAAGGAGGAGAGGAATAGGATTCCCATTCTTGCTTCAAAGTGAAATCTTCAACTCTAGAAGTACACCCCATTATTAATTTGTTAGAAGAACTTATTTAAAAGATTGTTCTTAGCCTCAAAATGTGTCATATCGGCATCGGTTGGTTCGTATAATAATGTTAATGAAATAAAATATATATGTAATTGATTCTTTAGTGTATAGTAATAATAATAATTTTGTTAATGCAATCTTAGTATCATAGTCAGTTTTCATTATTTCTTAGTTTTTCAATTTCTCATTATTGACATATTTTCCACAAAGCATAAAAGATGCAATTTTTTCAATGGAATTATTGTCCATCATTAATGGTATTGACAAATGGAGATCATACTTATTGGGGAGACACTTCTTTGGTCAAGAATGATGATATTCTCCATGACATTAATTTCTCTTTGTTTTTTTCTTCTCCATGATATTCATCCTATGTTTGGTCTGAAACAATTTTGTTGTCCCATAAAAAAAGAGTCATTTTTAAATAAAAAGAATTATTTAAAAAATTTATATTAAAAAAAAGAAGCACAAATAGATCTTTTTAGTCTTAATAAAATAAGGCTAATAATGTACATTGTTCTTTTACCTGAAAGCCCCTCCAGAAGCCGTTAGAATAATACGCCTGAGTGCACCCTGTGGCAAGCCTTGTATACACTGACACGAAAATGCATGTTGTAAACCTTTAGAATGAGCACGGGTCACAACACACGGGACTTAAAAGGTGCATTTCGAACTCGGAGAAAAACTAGAAAAAAGTAAATAAAGATCGAATTTGGAACAAAAGAAATATTGTGGGAAAATGAAAAAAAAATGATTCGAACATGCATGTTTTTATCATATAAAGACTAGAAATTAAAAATTAAATAAAAAGTACCTGGAAAATGGCAGAATGCTCGGAATCGGCAGGAAGAATCTTGACCTTATGCTTGTGGGCAAGGGGGAGGACAAATGGACTGCCGGCAATTAGAGTCTCTTTGTTGGCCAATGCAATGTCTTTCCCAGCCTCTATTGCCGCCACCGTTGGCTATAAAATGGTTCAAACTCATCATGAAGCCAAAAAAAAAAAGCACTAGAAATGCACCATTCTCGTTTGTCATGTTTTCATTTCTCATGTTTTAAGCAACTTTCGTTTCCAACATATTGGCTCAAGTAAAAAAGAACCCATTTCATAGACAATCTTTGTCCTTTCTCTGACAATTTCTGAATTCCAAACAGAACCTAAATAGTTTGAAGCATGAAAGAATGGGGGCTTGAATTGCTATGCTACCTTAAGCCCTGCACAACCAACAATTCCAGTGACAACAGTGACAGCATCCGGATGGCGGGCAACCTGAAAGATGATCATATACATAGGGAAAATGCAAAGATATGAGCAATTTATTTAATACACCGTCTGTCCCAAAATAAGTTTCCGGTTTTGCTTTGACTGAGGCTATTCTCAATCAGGGTTCGTTTGGGAAGGTGGAAAATGACTTCAAGAAGTTATTTTCCCATTTTCGGTGTTTGGATGTTCCCGGTTTCCCATTTGTGTTTATTTGAAGACATTTTCCACTCTTCTCCAACTTTTTAGATCGAAACTCACCATGTTTTAATATGTTAATGTAGAAAGGTTAATTTCATTGATCAAATATGTGAGAGTACATGTCTATATATACATAAGAGTTCCTAATCCTATACAAGGTAGGAGTCAATAATAGGAAACAATATATTCCTAATCCTATACAAGGTAGGAGACAATAATAGGAAACAATATATTTACATTAAATATAGAATATATTTAACATGCTCCCGGCTACGTCGGATGAGGAGGGGGTCTGATACCCAGACTGGACTTAAACTCGAGAAAGAGTAGAGAAGGTAGACCTTTGGTGAAGATGTCAGCATACTGGGAAGAGGAGGGCACGTGAAGGACTCGGATATGGCCGAGTGCTACTTTGTCTCGCACAAAGTGTATGTCGACTTCAACGTGCTTAGTGCGCTGGTGCTGAACTGGGTTCGATGAGAGATAGACGGCGCTGACGTTGTCGCAGAAGACAAGGGTGGCGCGTCGTAGTGGTTGCTGGAGCTCAAGAAGAAGATTTCGTACCCAAGAAGTCTCAGCAACTGCATTTGCCACAGCCCGGTATTCTGCCTCTGCACTGGAACGGGAAGTGGTGGCCTGGCGTTTTGAAGACCAG